CCTGTTTTTTTTTTTTTTTGTTTTTTCATACGATTAATAGTTTACCTAAATATTGTTTTAGATTTACTCATTAATCTTAAACCTACAAATAATGGAGAATAAAGTAGGCAGTGACGGCTTGACTGTAAGGACTGTAGGGCTACAGCCCCCCCAGTACAAGAGGAAATCGAGTTATATAAATACTCGTATAAAATGAAAATGTATTATGTTATCTACCCATACTATTTTTAATAAACAAAAAAAATATTCCATGCCTATTTACAATTTTCATATGATTCATTTGTTTTACTCCTTCCAATAATAATCTATCACTGTATCCCTGGCGTTCAATATAATTTATGTTAAATGATATTGCTGGCCGGCAGGGCTAAAAAATATAACTCCCTCAATTAACGAATTCAGGCTGTTAGATCGGATGTCGTCGCTCGTACTCCTATGTCAGATACGGAATTTGTATATGCAAAAGCCCTACTACAATTTCCGCCTTGCTCCTCTGTAGACAGTGTGGAGAATGTAGATAGTAAGTAATAATAATATTAATTATTTGACTGGTTATTAAAAATGGAAAACGACGTATGGTAACTGCTTCTGAAATTGGCTCTCTCACAATTATTATTAAAAAATATATATATATATATATATAGAAAGAGAGTTCAGAAATTTGGTGAATTAAAATTAGAACAATAACTTAACTACACTTTTAAAATTGTCTGCAGTTTTAGTCTGCTCATGCGCAATTGTATTTTTGACATAAACAAATAGTTGGATTTTATTTATCTTCTCTATGTTTATGTTAATGTTTATTCTGTTTAAACAGATACATTTAACTTTTATCCTAGTGACTATGTTAATGCTAATTACTAAATTATACTGACTAAACTCAACTTTACATTAATAGAGAGTTGAAGTGTTTCCAGTACGTTAACGTGAACGTCAACGCAGAAAAATAATGTTTACGTTGAGTCCAAAATATGAGTTGAAGTTGTTAAACGCATCGTGACATTTACGTGCCATGACAGATAGTGACAATTAATATTAGGATTTCTTCTTTCCCAATTAAAAAGAGGTTATTTTGTTCGCGTTACGTACATACGTCAGAGCCCGTAAGCTTACGTATTTACGTAGACGTAAACGTGAAGGATATTTGAATACGCATTCGCAGATGTCAGTTTTCACGTACACGTTTACGTTCATAGCATCACTTTAACTCTCTAATATGTATTTTAGTTTAATACAAACATTATTTTAATTTTTTTTTATTGAAGTGAGGTCAGTAATTTGCTGCGTTTAAAAAGAACCTCGTTTAGCTCTTTTTACTAGAAGCCGTTCTTTTAATACATCTGTGGCTTCTCGATGGGATTTGCTCCGTAGTATTTTAATACAGAGCTGGTAAGTCGAGTAAGATCTATTTACTCCGAGCTTTCGGAGTAATGTAATTTCTGTGACAATTGACAAAGTAGATGTACTTTTCTGAGATGATCAGACAGTCGTGCGTTGTCTCTTGTGTAGCAGTTTATTGTTTTTCATATTATTTACGTGTCAGACAGAAATGAGAGCATGGTTTATTTTCTAGTGAAAGCAAAAAGCGAAAAATAACACAACTAAAAATTTACTTTGCAATTTGCAACAAAAACCACAAGACGAGAGATCAAATTTGATTTAAAAGAAAGATTTAAGTTTGTTATTTGAATGGAAACCGGAAACGGGAAACACAAACAAATCCATAGTCGTTCTTTTATTCCACATAAGTTCGATTTGCTCGATGTCACGTGACTAAAAAATCTACTAGCTTTACTACGCTCCGGGAGGTTCTTTTCAAACGTAGCAGTTGTTGATACAATTCCACGCTACCTTTGAGCTATTACCGTGGCGCGTTACTATTTCTTTAAGTGTTGGTTCGCCTGTAAATAGAGGGTCGTGGTCCGTAAGTAATGGGCTATAGCGTAATAGCAGTGTTGGGTTCGAAACAATACGATATGATTCAAATAACTTCTTTATTAAAATACTCAAATTTGAAATATTTTTTCATTTTTTTTTAATACTTTCACAATATCTTTATAATTTTTGCCAAATATGGCAGAGAGTTATTATTTAATTATTGTTATCTTGTACACTATATAAACGATAAAAAACAGTAATAGTCGAAGCATTAGAGCAAAAAAGTTCGAAATTTTTTAGACTAAGACGGATCGGAATGCGGTTTTTTGCATTCGCTTCCAAACATTTTTTGGAAAAAAATGTCCCCTTTTTATTTTATACAAACCGGAAATTACACTACTGCAGCCAAAAATGCATTCAAAAATGCATTTTGAGGTCGCTGATAACGATTATGTAGTTCAAATTGATCCACAGCCGACCTGGAGCTCAGGAACGCCGATGAACGTCATCTCCGTGGGACTCTCCCAAAATTTACCCGGGGAAGGAGAGAAACTCGGCGCCCGAGGGTTTTGTGAGTCGCTGAATTCAAATATGGCATCAGCAAACACCCCCCGGACACTTAATGTGCCGTAACCTGGACGTGGACGTCATCTCCGACAATTTTTCTGACAAGATCGCCAAAAATAACCCGAAAATCATTGTGGGGCATTTTTTAGGACGCTGAATCCAAATGTCAAAAACGACCCCCTGAACACCTGGTGCACCGGAACCTGGACGCAGACCTCATCTCCGTGAATTTTCCTCACACAATCGAAAAAGACGATCCGAAAAACGTTATGAGGGCTTTTTTGGGGCGCTGAATTCAAATGTAGCATCGGCGAACACCCCCCGGACACCTAGTGCGCTCAAACATTGACGTGGAAGTCATCCCCGAGAATTTTTCTGACAAAATCGCCAAAAACAACCCTAAAATCATTGTAGGAGCATTTTTGAGTGCTTAATCCAAATTTCACGTCAAAAATGATCCCCCGAACACCTAGTGCACCGGGACCTGACTCTATACGTCGTCTCCGAGGGTTTTCCTCGCACAATCAAAGAAGACGAACCCAAAATCGTTATAGGGTTTTTTTGGGGCGCTGAATTCGAATTTCATGTCGAAAACGATACTCCCAATACCTGGTGCACCGGAACCTCGGGCTAAACGTTGTTTCCGAGGGTTATCCAGACACGATCCCAAAAGACTAATCGAAAATCGTCTCATAATTTTACACATTCATTGATGTGTAACTCTCGCCTGGGGCCCTCGAAAAACTTGATCTAGTCCTGTAAAATTCTAAATGCCGGGTTTGAATAGAGCGAGGAGAATTACGAGAATAGTCTCCGGTAGATCTCCGAACTTTGCCGAGCGGCCTGTCACTTTTCTCACAACGCTCGAAACGCTTTTGTGTAAGTAGGTATACACAGAAACTTTTTCCTAATTCCAGGCCCCGCTCACCAAAGTCCAGATTCGGGCGCACCAGGTATTCGGAAGGTGTTCGACGATGCCACATTTGAATTCAGCGACCCAAAAAACCCTCGGGCGCCGAGTTTCTCTCCTTCTCCGCGTGAATTTTGGGAGAGTTCCACGGAGATCACGTTCAGGGCCAGGTTCCGGTGTACCAGGTGTTGGAGGGGTCGTTTTCGACGGGAAATTCGGATTCAGCGCCCCAACAAAACTCTCATAACGATTTTCGGTTCGTATTTTTCGATTGTGTGGGGAAAACCCACGGATATGAGTTCCTCGTCCAGGTTTCGGTGCACCAGGTGTTCAGGGGATCGTTTTCGACGTGAAATATGGATTAAGCGCCCAAAAACGCCCCTAAAATGATTTTCGGGTTGTTTTTGACGATCTTGTCAGGAAAATTCTCGGAGAAGACGTCCGCGTCTAGGTTCCGGCACACCAGCAGGGTTATTCTACTAAATTTATAGCCCGGCTACAAGTTTATAGCCCGGCTACAAGTTGGATTTTGAAGTAGGAATATATAAAGTTCAAGCCAAAATCCAACTTGTAGCCGGGATAAATTTAGTAGAATAACCCTGCAGGGGGGTGTTCGCCGATGCCATATTTAAATTCAGCGACCCAAAAAAACCCCGGGCGCCGAGTTTCTCTTCTTCCCCGCGTGAATTTCTGGAGAGTCCCACGAAGCTGACGATCATCGGCGTTCCTGAGCTCCAGGTCAGCTGTGGGTCAATTTGAACAGCATAATTGTGATCAGCGACCTCGAAAACCCTCAGGAACTCGATTTGGGACAGTTCTGACCCTTATTTTCGAAGTTCCCAAAGCCGTCTCAAAAAATGCATTTTTTGAATGCATTTTTGGCTGTAGCACTGCAATTTCCGGTTTGTATAAGATAAAAAGTAGGGACATTTTTTTCCAAAAAATTTTTGGAAGCGAATGCAAAATGCGTCTTTGTCTTCATTGCCTCGACTATAATTTCCTCACTTTGTTTTAATTAAATATACACCCACCTAACTAACAAAGAATAAGGTATAAATTTAACAGTTTTACCCTAGTTCTACTGTCTTATGAAGAGTATGGTACACTTTTTTACTTCCTTTTTAACAAAAATCTTTTCAACAATGTTTTGGCTTACTCTTTACCGTAAAGATTCAGAAAAAAATAGGCTTATTGTAGATATAGACATCTGGACAGAGTATTTTTTGTCGCCATTTGTCGAATAAAATATTTCTTAAACAGACTTTTCAAATTGCAAAGTGTTTTGACAGGCCGTTTTATTAACCTCAAGTTAGAAGGGCGCCATTTGGTGATTACGAGTACAAAAATATTACCAAACTCCTATCTCCCTTTAGGCCGTAAATATTTATATTCCATAAAAATATAGACATTAAGAAGGCAGTCAAACATGCTTATGTTCCATTGTTATTTCTCTATTTTAAATAATGGCAAAACTAATCGCTTGTTTGGCACAATGACCGTAATTTAAACTTTCTTGATATAAAACTAGTGGTACGAAAAACATGATTAATTTCTAATAATCCCTGTAGGCAATATCAATTTGGGGTTAAGGTTAAATTATTAATATAAGCTTCCTTTAAAGCCCTGCTAGAACAAAATCAATTACCTGTAGTGACGTGTAACTGTGTTTCTTATTAGCGAATCTGAATCCCGAACTTTGATGATCATTAACGTGCCTGTGACGTAGGAGCAACGTTCTCATTACACGGGCTTTGTCCTCCTCTTTAATCAGGTCCTCCTTATACAAATCTTCCGATATTCTGAAAATAAATTGGTAATTAGCACGGTAATCTAAACGATCAGAAAATTTGCATTATGCCAAATGTTATCTGCTTCACCCTTTACTGTGTACAGGGTGTTTTTAAAATATATGTACACTTTTAAACTGGTTAATATTTTCTCGAAATCATAAAAGTATATATTGTTTAAAATATTTGTCAATAATGTTTTAAAAATCGGCTTTAAAGTGGCTCTGTTTTGTTGAGGTAGATTAGTTAGAAATGATTTATTTTATCTAAATTATTAATCATCTGCCTAGTAGGTCTGCCGTTGGCAATGTTGCCAAAGCCTGTATCATTTTGGATCACATTGTATATTTACCTGTACGCTATCCCCGGCAAATCTTTTTCCTCCAGATCCAATATGACGAGACCTTCTTCCAAGCATCTTCTTAAGTTGAGCAACGAGTGAAAACTCAAAGAGGCCACGTGCGGTTTACCCCAGCGATCTACGCCCTCCTCTACATCTTCTTCGTACTTGATCCAACGAGCGGTTTGTTTCCATTCACTCGCATCGCCTCCTTCAAAATATTCCGCTAGTTCGACAAAGATCTAAAAAATAAATAATATTATTGTTAAATAACGGTATTTACATAATATACTATAAAAGGAATGTATGATATTGCGCAGATCGATATCACGTGACGTGACGTCATGTACCGCGAAATTATATTTAGGGTCATAGTTGCTTAAGCGGGGCTTAATAGCTATGCTCTGATATAAAGCTTCTCTCTAATATAGAAGTTTTCAATATCGTCTTCTAATAAAATTTCATTTTCGACTTCCACATCATTTAATATTAATATAAACTTTTATCTTTAAAATAAAACCATCAAATCTAAATAGCGCTTTTAAACTTGCGAGACTCTTCAAAAATAGGTTTTTACAAAAGCTCGACTTTGTAACTTTGAGCCCCCTAAATTTGAAGATTAATTTTAAGCGCGCTTAAATTTTATGATGATTTCAGTGCATATGATAAAGAAAGAAATTTCGCAATCATGTACTACATCGATAATACAACGCTGTGGTATTGTCACTTATTAATAACAAAATTCAATTAATTCGACTGGTTGAATCACGTGACATAAGTATTATATTTTCATTGCATTATTTTTACAATCAGTTCATCATCTCTTACTAATATTTTGTATAATCTCAGTAAATATATTCAAAATTTCAAATTCCGATTCAGACACTTGTGCCTAGCTCATTTAAAGTACGTTTTAATTCACTAAATGCATTCACGCAAAGTTACGTAGACCAAGCATTGAATTGCTTTTCCAAGTTTCCAAGTTTTCTCAAGCTATCAAGTAAGCCTTCAATTGAATCTTTCAATAGAAAAAAACTAAAATGACAGAATACCAGTTTTAACAAATTACTTTTAAATCAGCATATTGACATTTTCAATTCATATTACCATTAAACTAGTTCCTATCATTAAACTACTTTTAAGAACATACAACTGTTTTCCTATTTAGTATTAAATATGGACCATCTTGAATATTTGCTCAAATTTTGCAAAAATTGAGATATAGTAAATAAAGCCTTTTGTTTGAAAAGATGAAACATTAGATGGTTCGGCAAAATTTCTTGTTAAGGTGTAGTGTGACTTTAGGTGTCTGAGATTAAAGGTTTGTTCCAACAGCGAATCTGATCATCAGAAGGACGTCAGACGCATGTGCATTGAAAATAGTCCGTTCCTACAAAGCCACGGATAATCCGATCAGTAAAACTTCCCAACATATTTTCTGATTCGTACATGAATGAGTCGGCAGATTGTCAAAACGATCAGAACTTCATCGCTTGTACAATTTATCAGCACATGCGTATTTGAACGTCTCTTCTCGTTCGTGCTATTTGTTTGTAATTGTTGGGATTTCAAGGTAGCTTTGAGTGGCTTGGGTTTATATTTCTATCAATTAAAATGAATAATTTTTGTTTTTATCTTGTGTACGATTTTTTTATATAAAATACGTACTTATTTTTAATAAAAATAAACATCTAAGGTTTCAAAATTATATATTCACATAGAGCGTTCGAGGCAGCTAAGTAAATGTATTTTGTTGTATTTTAAATAATGTTTAAAATACCAATTCACCAAACATGTGTTTGGTTTGTCCAATTCCATTGCATTTTGCGTTCCAACAAATACAAGTCGCTGACTAAACAACGGACGAATAAACGGACTGACATGCGCAGTGATTAGTTTACGAATGCATCTATGTACGAGTCGGAGACACATCAGAAAGGAGCTGTTGGAACAAACTTTATATGTCGTAGCTGGAAATAGATCAACGTCAAATAAAGAACAAACAATAATAGCTTTCATTCGGATATTTAATAAAACGCCGTTTCAAGAAGGAGAACTTTTAAATAAACTTCAAATGAACAGCTGAAAAATACTTTTTTCTACACCCATATGGATATTAGCTCTATTCTACGCACAGACTACAAAACGAAAAAGTACGCCATTGCATTCAACTAAACGAATATATTTCATATCCATTCTACCTAGTAAATCCACCAATAACAGTTTACATTTTGGTCACCTGACTTCTATTATTGTTTTAAATTTAAATAAGTGACATTTCTGTCAAACTAATTGTCAGTATATTTTTCAGTTATTGAGACTGAGATTAAGTATACATTAAAATTAGTTATTCTTCTGTAGAATCTATAAATATATGATAGTATTTCTATTATTTTATCTATATTTACAAATAAACCATACATTTTAATAAATCTATATGAAATCAATTTAATTACGAGTATTATAACTAAAATGATAGGTGTGGCGATGGAGTTGAGAGTAGAGCATAAATTATCTTCAAATGAGTTATTTTTTCTTAATAACCTAAAATAATTCTTAAATTTTTACATTTTCCTTAGTGGATCATAGAAAAAATATACTGTACAACTCGAGTGGATTGTCCGTATCGCAATCAGACGATTGAGCACTCCGCCTACGGCGTCATGCTCTTCGTACGATATGGCTATCATATCCACTCTCGTTGCACAAACTGCTATTAATTTGCTAACGGTCAATCAGATTTTACACCACAATACGTCATGCACGAACTCTACGGGATTTCATCGGCTAAGTAACATACCTCTGTAATTTTTTGTATCATGATATGTAACGAAGTTTTTTGAATCAATTTTGTTGTTGATTGTCAGTTGAGAAATTAATTTTAGAGAAGGGAAAAATAAATAATGATTATTTTCTTAAAATAAAATAGATTAGAATAGAAGAATTGTTGAATGCAGGAAAGATGAAGTAGAAAAAAAGATAAAAGGGAGATTAATTTTATATGTAAAGTGCGAGAAACAGAGGGCGAACTAAAATAGTAGGCAGGAAAGCTGAGCTGAGGAACTGCAGACGTGGGAAAAGCATAGTAAGCAGAAGCAGACAAGCAGAGCGAGAAAGCACAACCTTTTTTTTTCAATAAAATTCAATGATTTTTATATCTTTATTGTTTTTTTTTTTTTTTTCAATTTTAACTGATTTAGTAGGTTTGGAATTTTTTAAATTTGAACATTTTTCCTGTATAGGAAATTAATTTTTTAATCAAAATGTTTATTTTCATATTCTGCAGGTACCTTGTTGTTCCAATTTCACTTCAAGTTCAATGTATATACAGGGTGGCTCACGCTCAACGGGACGGAGCTTCATGGGAAAACGACCAAAGATATAAAAAATTCGTTTGGGAGGAATACGTAGGTTACAGACGGCTACAATTTAAAATTTATTAGATGTATACAGGATGTCCCACATAAATGAAAAAAAAATAGTTCATTAAAAATTATTCAAACAAGAGTAAACAATTAATTTCTGGGAGACTTTTTTTCCTTAAAAATTCAAATAAATCGAAAACTAATAATAATAGTAATAGGGAACCTTTAGTTAACTGACATTATTTTTGATGTAGTTTTTAATTCTAAAATAAAAAACAGGGTGTTCCAATAAAAATAATATAACTTTGTATATTTTCTCTTATGTGGGACATCCTGTATACATCTAACAAATTTTAAATTGTAGCCGTCTGTAACCTACGTATTCCTCCCAAACGAATTTGTTATATCTTTGGTCGTTTTCCCATAAAGCTCCGTCCCGTTGAGCGTGAGCCACCCTGTATAATAACAAAGATGCTGAATTGGTTTTTTAATAGCTATTTATGAAACCATTTACGAAATGTCTTATTTTATGTAACGAGCAGAGCAAGGTCCCGCAACGTGAACAAGTTGCAAAAACGGTATTTCGTAACGTGTTACATACAATATTTTTCTAATTTTGAATAGATTATTTATAAAATTGTGTTTTGGTAAAGCATTACTGACATCTAGGTAACCAATATTACTTTCTTGTATTGTTAGTTGCATAGGCATAATTTTACTTACAAATAGAACATATCAATTATTTGTAGTGTGTTTTTCGATTTTTCGCTTTTTCGCTCTTTCGCTTTTCGCTTTTCGCTTTTCGCTTTTTCGCTTTTTCGATTATTCGATTATTCGATTTTTTCGATTTTTCGATTTTTAGATTTTTAGATTTTTAGATTTTTCGATTATTCGATTATTCGATTTTTCGATTTTTTGATTTTTCGATTTTTTGATTTTTCGATTTTTCGAATTTTCGATTTTTTGATTTTCGTAATCAGTTGCATAATGTTCTACTTTATGCAATTGGTTGCTTAAAGTAGATTGTTTTGACACTTGCTGCGATTACAAAATATGTCACTATATATGTCAAAATTAGAAAAAGTTATTTAGTTTTCAAAAAAGCGGGTTATTTTGTCGTGTATTGTATTGATTTAGAATGAAAAATGAGTACCAAAACAACATTATTATTACTAGGTTTTAAGTTTAACCAAATTCTATTTTTATAAGTCAACCTTCTCTTCTTTGATATGAACCTTCAATAATAAAGTATAGTATTTTTAATACAAATCCCGATGCACGTCAGAGATCATTTATGATGTCACGGCCTTGCAGTGTTGTCTAATCGTCAGAATAGTTAAGGAATTTAGAATTTTTTAAAATTGTAAGGTTATGTATTTGTTATGTTTTAGTTTTAAATGTATATAACTAATGGAAAATATTGAATTCCTTTATGAATAATAAACATCTGAACAAAGAAGCTTTATACATATTATGCAAGTCATGGAAAATAAAACTGTAAGGTAGGATATTGCAGATGGATCAAAATTGGTTTAGAATTAGCACAGAAAATATCTAAAACTAATTTAATTTCACCAAGAAAGTTATTTAACAGAACTACATTTAAGTTATAAACCACAACACCCCATAAAATTAAAGAGGTCATTGAAAAAATGAAAACTACAAAGGCATGTGGAGGATTCATGTCAGTAGATACCTATACTTAAAGAATTAAAGTTTAAAATTGCTAAAATATTTGAGTAGGTGCTTTAGTAAATCTCACTTTCAGTAACGGTTCTGTAGCTCAAGTATTCAAGATAGCCAGAAATGCTTCAAAAATAAACTGATATCTCTACTTCTTTTCAACTCTAAAGATATCGAAACATGTATGAACAATA